TTATCTAATAAATATTAACACTCTTATATATCAATATATATTATTAATAATATATAGAGATCAGTCAATTAAAAAGGAACTTATAGCAAAAATGAATTAGCTATACTATCATATAAAGCAGGTATTCTTTTATATAATTTGATATTTAAAATATCAATTTACATAATAAAATTTTTGTCAATACCCACTTTTTCAAATATCTATTTGTAATCTAAAATTAAAATTTAGAAATCTAGTTGTTGATCCTTGCTGCAGAGTTATAGAGAAGTATTCATATGATTAGCTAATTTATGTCGATCTAACAGGTTATGCTAATAATAGATTGTTATTTGAAATATGATTTTCTTAAAATAGAAAAAAAATTATAAACCACTTTTAGTTTTTTTTTAATTTAGTGATCCTGTCTATTACTCTTTATTGAGAAGTACCAGAACTTATATCAACAGGGAGATACAATTTTTTATACTATATTTCTTATGAGTAAAGATCAACTCGAGCTAAGCTCAGAGAATAACTTACCTAGTAGCAATTAGCTTCACGTTGAATCCTCAACTTACTGAGAATATAAACCCTCTGATTCTTAGCTCTAGCAGCTATACACTTCATCAAAAGAGCCAAATTAATGAAAGCACAAATACAAAAGAAAAATAAAACAGAGATAAAGGGGAAATATAATAAAAGATATAAGCAAAAAAGAAAAAAGGGTAAAGGGATATCGAAAAAAGAAAAAAAAGAATTTGCCTATTCTAATGATCACTATTATAAGCCTGTGAAAGGCTGATAAAAATTACATACTACTAAATAAAATAGTCCCTACTCTAAATTTATCTATATAGTATATAAAAGCTCAAAACCAGTGAAAAAATACTTCTTTGACCATAAAATATAGGAGTCAGTACTCGATCCAAGTCGTAGAATATTGCTTAATCAGATTGTTGCATTCGAGACACGTGTTTTGACATGTTTGTTGTCCTGTTATACCAATTTAGAAAGTAAACAATACCAACTGTTTTGGTGTATGTAATATTGATCTTTTGGAGGTGATAAGCTGAAATGTCAACTTTTTACAAAAATTTCCTCAAAAAAAGTGGTGGGCCAACAAAAGTATATGAGGTTCTTCTTGTAAAAATTATAGTAGTATAGTCCAGTTTCTCTGTTTCTACTTGATATTCTTGCACAAGAACCCAACAGGGAAGTTGCTTCTAAAATATCCTTTGGTTTGAATATCAAAAGTATGAGGAAGTTCACTTCTTTTTCTTTGCTATTTCCAGAAACTTCTCCAATTTGGATACTGAATATACAAAGGAGTCTACCATACAAAATGAAAGGGCTTGACCTTTGTGCAAACCGTCTACAATATCTACATTTTGGTATATTATGTTTAAGAACTTCGTCAACAACAGTTTGTAAAAAAGAAGCTTGATCCAAGATACCAAACCCACTTTTTGTTATATGCCCGCTTCTTGGTATTTCACATATATAAGCTTCGTTAACAGCAAATAATATAGGTATATAGCAAGAGTATCATGGTATCCACTTTGTCGCTTTTCTATAACTTTTTACTATAGTTCAATTTTTTTGTTATTGACCAAGAGATCATTAGAAAGAGCTGTATGTAGATTTTTTGTAAACCTTTTTTTAGTTAACCGGTCTCTATATATCAATTATTATAAAATTCATTAAATTTTATCAAACTTTGATATAGATTTTTTTGATAACTATTAATTGAAATTGGTTAAAATTTTTATTGTAAATAGTATTGGTATTTAACTATAATATATAAAAATTTTAGCCAATTATAATTACTAGTTCACAAGAAATTACTTGTATATGATAGTTAATTTTTTAAAAAAATTAACTATCATATACAATAAATTACTTGTAAACTAGTAATTATAATTAGCTAAAATTTATATATTTTATAATTGAATACCAATACTATCTATAGTAAAAATTTTAACCAATTTCAATTGATAATTATCATGAAAATCTATATCAAAGTTTGATAAAATTTAACAAATTTTTGCTATATAGCATTATTTATTACTAATATTTATACTTTACAGGGGTGATATATATTGATTATAATCTAGAGGATTATAATTAATATATATCTTAAAAAAACTTTTTAATAGATAAATAGAATGACAAGACAGATAGTTTAGTTAAACAAAATATAGCAGTAGATAATATAAATAGTATTATCTTTAATCTTTTACTTAAATCAAATATTTCATTATTCTGAGATGATATATTTATTAAACATTTAGTAAGAGAAGTAACTAAAATGTTACTAGACTTTAAGATAGATGCAGATTAAAAAGAATTGAAAGCAATCTAAAAGATTGAACTAAAAGAGAATTATAAAAACAATGAATAGGTTTATCTTTGAAAAAAATCAAAAAAACAATAGTATTAAATATACAATAATACAAAAGACAAGCGTCTTAAAACTCTGTTCTAGTATGCCAACAAGATACTTCTAGTACAAAAATATTATCACAGAGATACCTAAACTTATATTAAAATACAAATTGTATTATTTGTAATGATAAAGAAAAGAAAAACTAAAATTATTTAATATACTGTAAAAAACAGAAAACTAATTAAAAGATTGCTAAAATTTAGTAACAAATATGGCTTGGATAGCTTTTTTACAGAAAACCAAAAAAAGAGAACAACAAAAACCTTCTAAAAAGAACACTTTGAAAAGAATTAAAAAAAGAAATTTTTGAAACAAGATTAATAATAATCAAAAATCTAATTTAAGAAGATATAATAGAAAAGATATAAGAATTCTTACAATTGAGCAAAAAAATCAAAATATATATCAAACTTGCTTTAAATAATATAAAACTGCTTTTATAAGAATATTTAGAAAAGAAGATATGAACTACTTTGAAAATAGGAAACTAGCAAAGATATTTTAGCTAAAAACAAATAAAGAAACAAACTACAAGTAAAAAAGAAAAACCAAGACCAGAATTTGATAAATCAAGATCAAAAAGAAAGAATTCAAAGGAAGATAGTACTTTTGTTGAAACAGATAAATAATAAAAAAAAAAAAGAAAAGTTCAAGAATAGAGAATTGATAATATAGTAATTTAAAATTTTAATTTAAAATAGCTACAAGCTCTTTTAGTATAGCTTGTATAGTATTAGCTTTCTGGCCTTGAAAAAATATTTTAAACCAGTGTGACAAACTGTTTCTGAATGCTTATGAGGTAACCGGAAGATATTGAACCTAGATATTAAGCTTAATATTATGTAATCTACTTATATAATAATTTTAATACAGTAAAAGATTACTAGCAAAATTGCCAAAGTTAAAAAAAAAGTATAAACAAAATTTTTAAAATTTATTAAAATTAGAATTAGTATCAGGTTTAGAATCTAAAAAAAAATAGTTTATATAGTAAAATTGTTTAACAAATTTTTTTTAAAATATAAAAGGTAGTTTTTATATTAATTTTAAACTGATTTTTAATAGAATAAATATTTATTTTAAATTTTTTTTGATCATATTATATCTAATTTTAAAATCTAATTTGTATACTGTAGTTTGAAAAACTATATTGTCAATCTTGTATATTTAAGAGAATTATAGAATATTTATATAATATATAAAGTTGTACAAAGGTATATAAGTTTATATAAATTGATGCAAATTTATAATAAGTTTCTATAAGTAAAAAAATAATAGTATAAACTTTAAACAATATTACTAGAATAGGCTATATCTAAAACTGGTAAACTAAACAAAAACTGGATATTAAAATTAAAATACTTTTACCAATCAAACCACCAGAATATTAATTAGAAAAAAAGAACGTGATGTTTATAAAAAATGTAATAATAAATAAAATCATAAAAAGTTATTGTGTCTTTCATGACGAATTAAACTATTGAAACATTTATTCATTATGCATAAATTTTTCATGCCAAAATGTCAAAGAAAAATATTACCGGTAATTGATCAAAAACTATGAAGAATTGAAGTTCGTTTTTTATCCCATTAATATTCACTGCGTACTTCACTAGTTTCGGTATCAATTAAATAAATTAAATACTTGAAATTAGATAACATTTTAATAGTCAAAGAAGCAGAGCAGAATGTTATTCAAAATTAGTTACAATATAAGCTGTAATAGCTTCAACACAAGCCGAAATATTTCGGTCACATGTATAATACAGGGTTCTACGGACACCCAAAATTTTGACAGGTCATAATACTGGCTATCACGCGATGTGATAATTAAAATTTAAAGTCTGTCAATAATTGTTAATGTGATTACTAATCTTTAAATATTAATTGTCACGTCGGGATTATGGTTTCGAGATTTTGGATGTCGGGATTTTGTGGTAATACCATAATACAGTAATGGGCAACGTCCAAGGAAAACTAAAAAAACTAGACGTTGACTTTTAAATAAATCCAAAAATTGGTTTTTCTTAGCATTTATATAAATTCCCAATTTCACGCATAACATATATTTATACATGTATTTTACATGGTCCGCGAAAAAATACGCGGAATGATTAATTAATCGCATGCTCTACTTCGTGGCACGCTTTATTTAATTACGATAAAATATATCGATATAAAAAAATTACAGTTTATATTGTCTATACTTAAAGAAGCTTAAATAATATCTATTTATTTATCTGTCATTTACACAATTGCAGGAATTGTAAATAAACAAATAACAAATAAATAAATAAATAAACTAATTCAATAATTAATTAATTAATTCAAATATGATTATTCCATTGCTCCCGGGAATTTCAAGGGAAAAATCAGCTTGTATATATATCCTAGAAAAAAAGAAGTAAAAAGAAGTAAAAAGAAGTAAAAAGAAGTAAAAAAGAAGTAGGGAAATTGTTACATGAACCATATACAAAGATGAAAGTCAGCATAAGATGATATATATATTATTATTTGATTTTTTTTTGTTTTTCTTATTTTTGTAAAAAGCTAAGACTGTAATATACAACTTAATTTATTCATAATCACACCCCACCCTATGACTTCGTTGGCGACGTGAACAAGGATTACTCGTCCACACGTCCAAAATCTGTCGTAATGCTACACCACTCACACCAACATTTCTTCGGATTAAATTCTTATGATATTCATACTCCTCTCCACGAACGTACGGTCTAATTTCCATTACCATTCGTTTTTTTCCACTGAAGGGGAGAATCTTTTTAATCATAGTATTATGAGATGATTCTTTTTCATTTTCTTGATCATAATAAAGCTCAAATAAGAGGATTGCACGTTCTGCAGTAGACTTAGTAGACCTTTTGGATCTTGTGCTTCCTCGTTTTTGAGAATCGAATTTAAATTCTTGACTTTCATCATGATGTATGTATTCGCATACAACATTGCGGTGCTTTTCTAACCAATCGATAATTTCATCACGTTTACCAATTACTTGGAATTTTGTTCTTGACCGCTTGAGTCGGATTTGTTGTACTTGATGAGGAACGTAACAAGTAAAAAGACCTTGTTCATCAGCTATAAATTTATAAATTGACATCAATAGGTTCATCAATAGGTTCATCAATAGGTTCATCAATAGGTTCATCAATAGGTTAGTTAATTATGAATGAAAACCTTTTCATTAAAAGAACAATAAATACCGATTGGATATCCGTATCGAACCATGTTAACAAATTCGTTTCAATAAAATTTGTTTATTTTTAGGGTATTTGTCATTAAAGATTCCAGAAGAGAATGTGTTTTTTTTCATTTAATAATTAAAAACGTAATTAATCGTAATTAAAACGTAAATTGTTTGTTCACATCAGAAAAGTGTCGCAATGTGCCCTTTTTAAAACAAAATTTTAGAGTGTCTTACGTCACGGTTCATTTCAAAAGACTCTGACAAATAATATTTAATCATTTTTACACGTTTTCATTTTCATGATTATTTGGTCCATATTTTGACTTGGGTATGGTTTATCTTTTGCAACACCACTTTAAGTTGAGAGTAGTTTGTCAAAACTAAACTTATTACAGAATCGAGAGTTCGTTGAAAGAATCCCTTTTATGGATGAAATTCCGTGATTTTCTGTATTGAAATCCACGGCAATTTACAATCAAGAAAAAATTTTTTTGAAGGTTTGATGGACAAAAATTATGGTAATTATTTTCCGGCTAACGCATTATTTTTTAGGTTTAGTGCGATAGTGAACAAGCACTCTGTTGTGAAAAACTGTAAATCCAGTTAAATTAGATAATTATTCAGGAAATGTTTGTTTTCCCAAGGAAAATCTATTTTCATTACACAAAATTGACACCTTACACCCGATTCTACATAAGGAAACATCTATTTCGAAGCGTTCATTATATTTCTGTACATTATATTCTGGATATGGAAGAAGTCAATTTTAATGACATCTAAAATTCAAGCTTACAGATTTTTAATACTTAAAAATCTTAAAAATACTTTCAGTTGCTTCCGCACTTTCAACGACATAATCTGTAACATAATTTTCATTAATTTCCAGTAATTTCCAATAATTTCCAATAATTTTCAAAACTTTCAATATCGCAAAATTTGATTTTCATACTTACTTTGACGAGAAAAAAAAAAAAAAAAAAGCCCAAGAAAAAAAAAATTATAATTCAACAATAATGGCAACCCCCCCGAATCTCAAATATGATTAGAATATGAAAACAGCTATAATAACAAATCATAATAAAAGGTATTATCCTAATAAAGAATAATTTTACTCTGATCACATGCCTAAAATTGGAATTAAAAATTCAATTAACAAATTTGAAATTTTGTTCCGTCTTGGAAATCTTCTTTGCACCTATCCCGATGCAAATAAGAAATAATTATAAATCAAGCATTGAAAGTCTTTACTTAATGAGCTATTTCAGCTACCCAACCGATTTTTAATTCTGTCAGCCACAAAACTTGATTTCACCTGACACCCGGTTATTCTTTTTGACCAGATAATCTCACAAGTACGTACAGACGTACAGTACCTACTAAAACTAAAACTTTTTTTGTTTTTAATACCATATTGAGATAGCTAAGTAATGCGATTCATCACGCGAGGCGAGTAGTACATACGGTCTATAATACACCAATCACATATTCGATTTATCACACGTTTGAAAATTAAAGAACAAAACTAATTTTTAAAGCTTCTTTTTGTACGATTTTCATGTTTCATGTTATTTTATTATGCGAGTTTCATGTCTTTTGTACAAAATTGTTTTCGCGTTTTTATGGTTTTTATGAGTACTCTGTAAATATTCATGTGTCTCCATTGTCTCCATTCGAAATCTCATTCGAAATCTTAAGACGTTAGATTCCACACCCTCCTAAATCTGTAAATTTCAAAAAGGTAATAGTTTAAACCCAAAATACATATTTTAACTTGAATCGTCAGTGAATCATTGAAACTAAAAACACTTGAATGTATAACATCTTGTTAATTATGAATAATAATGAGTAATTCTGACTATTGTATTAGTAGTCATCATCGCCGACTTCCAAATTTTTGATTTATATTAGATCTTCAGTCGTAATTTTTCCACGGTTTTTTTTTTTTTGATGTTTTTTCCACGTTTATTTTGACATTTTGGCATTTTTTTTTTTTGTTTAACGCTCAGGATTAGAGTTATTGGATTATGAAATTATCTGAAACTTCCGAATATATTCCTAAATGGAACACAATAGGTTTTTTATTGCTCAGACGTACGTACGTATTATTTTATGTATATTGTTTTACAAATTGTAAAAAAATAAATAAATGCATATCGATTTATTAATAGATAAATAAAAATTTTATTAATAGGTACGTAGGTAGATAAAAATTATGAGCACAATACGTATTGAATTCCGACAATTAAGATTATAAATTGTCAATATATATCGATATATATATTAATCAAAATAATTCATTCGCATATGCTTGGATTACGCCCAACCTTGTCAATTTGGGGGAACACCTGATTTCAGCATTCTGATGGTAAAAACAATGGAGTGCCGGCAAGGGAATCCCTCAAACCGTGAATTTAAATTTATTATTTATAAAACATGTTATAGGATACGTGAATACATTTAATATTACGTATCATATACCGATATCGATATGTCTTTTATTAGGACTGAATATGGCGAATAATAACCAAATTTCCGGTTCGAAGTTTTCCTTTGCCGGTACTCGAATATAATACATTTTTATTAGAAATCGGTTAGGATAGGATAGGATGATGAATGCCAAAGAAATTGCTGAATTGGATGAACCTAAGATAAATTGTTATCGTCAAAAATTAATCTAGTTGCTCGAGTTGTTACTGTAGAATCTAATTGGTGAAAAATATTATTTTTACAATAAAGGATTCCGAGTTAAGGAATAATGTAAGGCTTTTATTTATTCACAATTAAAAATGAAAAAAGCTTGTGATTTAAGTTTTCTTTTTGCTTTTAAATTATTAAAACTGCTTTAAGATATTTATGATATTAAAAATTTTCGAAATACTATTTCTTTTGATGACAATTCGTATTATCTTTATTATCAAAGTAAATGATCTTGTACTTGTGAAAAAAATGCATAAATAATGAATCCAAAAATTGTTATAAAAAAATAATAGGAATCGGATCCGGGTATGAATTATGTGACTACCAGATAACTCGAGTAATCTGGTAGGGTACAATCTCTAGTTATTACTGTATTAAAAAAATAGCATGTACAGTACATTAACAATAATATAATGCTATTTCTTATTTCTTTTAAAAAATTTTTTACAAAATAAACCCAAATCTAGAAAATGGAATCGGTGATGAATTATTTTGATCATCGATCAAAAATTTCGAGTATCGAAATAAAGCTTAATCATCTGTCAAATTTTGTCGAATATTAAATAATTTAATTGTACAATTGATAAATTAATATATTTTTTTGATATTTTAAAAAAAAACTCGAATATTCGGTCGAAAATCCAGAATATTCGGTCAAAATCCAGAGCTTGTGACCAAACGATGCTCGAAACTATAAATGCCGAAATATTTTCGGCAAAGCCGAAATAATTTCTGCGGCATATATACTCGAAACTCATCGATCTCTACCTAAATCCTATTATTGTATCGGATTATTTATTTATTTAATTTTGTAATCAATATTTACATAATATTAAAAAGTAGTGTTTTCGATCCTATTCCTAAAGGGCTATTGTGTTAAATTCGGTTAATCATTCGATTAGCATTAGTATTAGTCCCAGTAAATAGTACCCATTAGATTCTACTCGAAATGGTGTGTTCTGATCGGTCGAAATTAATGATTTTTAATAACAGATAAGGGTACCTATTACGTAATATTTTTGAAGTAATAAATCTTGAATTAGTAAGAATGCTGTACTACTTCTTTGGTGTTTACTTGAAATAGATTTAAATCAGAAAAAAAAATTACGTAGTAGATGTAGTAGATGTAGTAGATGTACGTACGTACGTACGTACGTATTTTTGCCAAAATACCAAATTAAACTTTATAGAATGGGGTCTTTTGCCTTGAAAATCACGTTATGAGACGTAGTAAATCATATGTCCATAACGTGATTTTCAAGGCAAAGATCCCATATAATTTTTTTTACCGCCGGAGCATAATTTCGAATTTTGACCTAAATTAAGCTTAATTCTGGCCAAAATTCGAAATAACGCTCATGGCGAAAATAGACCGAGGTAAAATCGCCACCAAAAAAAGTTTCGAAAATCATTTGATATTGTCTATTCATCATGATTAGGATCATGATAAGTAATAATATTACGACAGGGTGAAACCCACGCTGTGAATTAATAAAATCCGCTACGTAGATCACATCACGAACCTAGTATACCCCTAAAAAAATGTTACGAAACTGAGTTTAAATTTAAAATGCAGGTTTTATTATGCAGTAATAATGACGACGATTATTATTGTATAATAATCAATTTTTAATAAAATAAATTTTTTTGCTTTTCTCTCA